GCCATAGTCTGCAGTTTCATCAGGAGAGATTGAGTAAACGCACTCTAAGCTGACGATTCAAAGCGGTATCCTTGCCGTTTTGGATGCGCCGGTTTGGTGCTCTCAATTCCTTCTGATTCTAGGCTTTTGGTCCTGTTTGGTGCCACAAGATCCGTGGGATTTGTACCGCCTTACACCCCCTTTGTGTGTGTGTGTGTGTGTGTGTGTGTGCGTGTGTGATTGTGCATGTTCAAGTATTTTTTACGTTGTCCACAAAACAAGAGGCAAAAAAAACCTCCAAAAAAAAAAAACAAGCTGTGGCTCAACTTGGACTTTTTCCAGTCTAATTAACTGAGCCTTACCAACTGTTTTTAAATCCGGTCTTTGCCTGAAGGTAATCATGGAGGTCCAGCCTGAATTCAAGACAAAGAAAAATCTTTCAGTGCTCCCTGACCACGGGGAAATTAACACCAAAACCTGCCAGTGTTTTCCAATATGTCAGCACGACAGCTTCTTGTCATTGCGGCACCTTGGAGGCGAGATTCCCGGAAGTGCAAAAAGACTTTTTTTTAAGTGACACATGTCAGCCGACTGAAAGTTAAGAAAGTTGTCTTTCACTGTGCTGGCAGCTTGTCCTCAGGCTCCTGAAGGATGTCAGGCTCTGTGGCTTAATCCTGCCGTCAGCGTTGTTGCTGTTGTTGTTGAATCTCCAGAGCTCGTTCTTGGATGATGCCCAGTGAGGCTGAAAAAGTCCAGATCCTGTTGTGAAGTTGTGCAGATCAGTGACTTGTATTTTCAGGTACAGTCACAGCATCCGGTATAAAGCTGGCTGTTCTAATACATCACAGATAACGCCTAGAACGGATGCCTCCAGGCTGCACAGACACATCCAAATGAAAAACAACCCTTGTGATATCTGCTGAGTCCATGCAAGCCCAATCACTGTTTGTCCTCTCTCTCAAACCCTCCGTTGTGTCTCCTCCTCTCTCCTCGGGTTCACCGCCCACACTCTCATCGGTATCTACACTTGCTCCCGGTTTGGGTCCAAATGGGCTCATAGAAGACCAGATGAGGATGCTTATTGCTTTGCAGACCTATATTGCTTGTTTACTTTCTGCATTAACTTCTGATGCATTAAGGACAGACCCCACCGAGTAGTTTGGTTTTTAGAGGCCAGAAAGCTTTTCACACAGAGTGACCCACTAAAAGGGTTTTGCACCTCACGGAGATAAAAGTCAAAGAATGAGGGAGTCCATGGAGAAGAACCGGGTTGCACCATGGCACATTAAGTACCACACAGTGCCGGAGAAAAGCACAAGCACAGATGTGTTTGATGCATATTCACACCGTGCATATCCCATTGGTGCTTTTGTATTCATGATCCCCCATCCTCAGCTGATCCCTTATTACAAAAGCATGCCAGCAGCCCAGAGCGCCACTCCAGCAGCTTGCCTAACAGGTTTTCCACATCTTGGAGAGGTGAAGTGGAGAAGCCACCGCAGCATTGCAAGCAAGCATTATATTGATAATTTATTCCCTCTTGTTAAAGTTTTACTTCATTGCACATTTTATCTGCTCGTGCTCATTTGCATCCCCATTAAATTTAGATGTACGCCGGAGCGTTTGGATGAATTTAGGCTTAAATTAAAGAACAGTAAATCAAAACAATAAGAACCTGTTTTACATTAGAGAAACTTAACACGTCATTAGATGGTTCAGACTTTTAGAGGATGTGTTTTTAGATGGAACCCCCCTTCTGTAGTAAAACTGGGTTAAAATGAAACTAAATTTTAGGGGAATAGGACACAAATCTGAGACGAGTTTGCAACCAGATGCAAATAAAATCAGGGTAGATTGTAAAACATTTGTGACAAAAAACTTGTATGAAGTCCGATACTTCCCACTGCACAAAGACACGACGTCCTACAGAAGTGGTCCGGACTGACGGACAAAATATAGACATGATCTGCACGTCCATATGACGTTAACTGTTTGGTGGGTCGCAGTTTTTTTTTAATACAATTCCTTCACAATTTCCCCGACTCGGCCACGTGTAAAAATTATTGCAGAAGTTATGTACGCATCAAATTTATTCCAACCATAAATTTGAACGTGATCTCACAATTTCATCTCACTGACATTGACAGCCCAGTGGGATTAAATATTGCATAAAATAAGAAGGAAAGAAAGAAAATTATTTTTTTATATAGCGCCTCTTTAGATAAAAATCACAAGATGCTGCATGAGAACAAAAATAATTCAAAATACAAGAAAAAAACTTTTAAAACATGTTTAAAATTAGAAGAAAAAAATAAATTAAGAATTGTGATTAAAAAATGCAAAGAAAGGGAAAATGTATAGGAAAGAGGGAAATCAGTGGATCAATATTACATACAATACAATATTACAAACTATCTCTTTCGACCTAAAGGTGCAATATGTAAGAATGAAGTAAGAATGACATCCTGTGGTCAAATAATGCAGCCCATTTTCTACACAATGTTACTATGTCACTGCTGTCGCATGAGTTTCACCTTACTTACTTAAGTAAAGACGAGTCACACACAGAAAGTTGATAAGTAGATAAATTCATTTTTATATCTGGTGTTAGCACTCTTGGACGTTTTATGCTGGGAAGCACTTACAATACTTAGTTTGGTAATATTCCTCTGGCATTAGAGGAAGTGTGCTTGTTTGCCATCTTGCTGACATAGTTCTGAACGACTCACTAAAGGAAGTAAAACGTCACGATTCACTTCACATACATTTCACTGTAATATTGAATTGTTGGTAGTTGAAAAAGTAGCTAGAGATATTTTTAGAGACGACTATTTGCATTTAATCCACTGTTAGCATTGTTAGCTAAATATTAGCCTCTAGCGTGTTAACCCGATATTAAGAGTAAAACTAAACAACGTTGTGGCTTCTTAGGGGTACAAGAAATAACTTCTGGGTCGCTCTTGTTTACTGGCTTTGGTTCTTTAAACAACTCTGGAGCTTTTACCAAATCGCAAATGCTGACAATGCAGCGTTAGCTCAGCACAGACTTGGCAACCTCCACAGCTAACAGATTGTACACTAACTATGTACTTCCTTAATTTTTTTGAAAGGCGAAAAATTGACAACCCCCCAGCCGACTGTTTCAATGTAACATTCCTTCCGATGTGATTGAGACATTGGTCTGTTTTGGGATAATTTCATTGTAGAAATCTTACATATTGCTCCTTTAAAATGTCAGTGTTTTTCTTATGATTTGCGTATGCATCACTTTGTTCACATGTCCAGACTTGGACACTGGGCTGCAGAGCATCTTGTCATTTATTTCCCACTACGTGCAAATCTAATCACAGTTGTGTTGGTTAGGGTTAGCACTAGGGAGTGAACTTGGAGCCGCCAATGCTTTCTCTGACACTGTCATTTGTTATAGTTGACTTCCAATACACCCTTACAGGCAGACAAGAAGGACCCAGTGAGGTTGTCGTGGTTTAAAGCAGCTTGGAGCGCTGGGTACCCGAAACAAGAGAAGCTCCTGGTGCTCTTTGCTCAGCCTATCAGTGAAATAGAAGCACAGAGGAAGGGAGGGCGAGGCGTAGAAGAAAGGCCGTTTGAATAAAATCAGGTGGAGTGACATCTGTGGGGTTCTGGTGAGGTTTGATTAGCTTCCTGATGCGCTGCAGCATGGGCCAGTCATTTGCACTGCAGCAGATCTGGTGGCCTTATGATAACAAATGAAGGTGAATTCAATCAGAGAGCCAAAATGGCCGTTAGGGGACAAGACGAGTTTGAAGGAAATTTGGATTGAACAAATCAGTTTATCATAATCGTTATCCAAAAATTCAGAAGTCCGTTATGACGTTATTCTAAAGAACAAAAACTGTTGTTTAAAGCAACATTAGATTTAGTAAAGTAATAATACTCAATGGAAAAGGTGGGAAACATTTTTTAATGGACACACTTCACTATAATTTAAATAAAAGCTAAAAATAATCACCACAAATAGATATAGCTAGTACAATAATGCCTATATTTAGAATTTTTGTAAGCTTTTTTATAGTTCAGCCAGTGATATTTGGGATTATGTGTGTTTGTTGTTGTATTTTTGGGACGATAAGCAAAAAATTTAACAACAACCAATTTAGAGTTCAAAACACAGATGCGATTATTTATTTAAAGAAGTAAAAAAAAAGCAGTGAAGACTGATTCATCACGTGAAATGTTGCAGTGTGGGTCATCAAAACAACTAAACACACACATAAAGCATCACTCTGCTGGGCTGAAGGCAAAATTATGGTCTGTGTTCACGTTTCTAAAGCTTTCTGAACTATTCTTTGGATATTTTCACGAAATGTGATCAAAATGTTTACTCTGTGCTCGTAAGACATAGCCTAATAGTGTTCAAAGTGTTTATAACACAAATTCAGCATTGTGTGAAAGCTAAAAGATCCAGAGTTCGCATTAAAAAAAAGCTGTTGCTACTGATTTACACCAGCAGGGGCAGATTTGTGCCATTTAGAGGTGATTTTAGCTTATAGAAAATAATGGACCAAAATTACTACTCTAGAGTTTATAACAACGATAAAACTGATTTAAATAATTTTAGTTATAAATAAGATGTTAAAACATGAACAGACATTGCTGCTACTAAAGAAGAGAAGAGCTGCTATGGAAGGTATCTAAGCAGAGAGTGAGAATACATTAAATGTTATTATCAGGGTGGTTGATGCTTAGAAATAGAACAGGAGTAAGTATTGCTGCAAAACTTGTGCAGGCACATTTTTAACACTTCATTTGTTGACGAGGAGTTTTGCCCTTAAGCTGAAATGAGCTTTCTTTATTACTGATGATTTTTTAAGTGGCTGTGGTCCTATTAGCCTTTCCTGACCCCCACCAGTTTTTTGCTGGCCTAAAAGAAAAAAAAATGATTTTTATTTTTTTTGCATTTTTCATTAATTTGGGGATATAAGAGTTAGAATGTAAAGTAATATGACTTAATAATAATAATAATAATAATAATAATAATAATAATAATAATAATAATAATAATAATAATGATAATATTCACCACTTTTTCAGTTAAGTTCAGTTCATGCTTCAGTAAGATGTTATAATGTGCTCAGTCAAGTGGTTGACCTGCCAGCTAAGGGTTGTGCCAATATTTCATACCATAACTCAGGACTTCAGAGAAGCATATTTAAAAGTAGGGCCGGGCGATAAATCGGAAATGTGTTGTTATCGAAATTTCTGACTCCAACTGATGTAATTTTTCCCATGTCAATAAATTTGGTAATAAAAAATGAAAAGATGTGCAGAGGTTGGTGATGTCTTGAGTCACATGACAACGTGACTCAGTGTAATACATGACAGCCCCATAGAAAGTGAAAAATACCCCTCTCCATCAAGCTTAGTTTATCGTACAGTTATGAAATTTGGTATACTGGTACTACTCAACAGTCTGCACAGAAAAGCCTCTTGCAACCATGGTCAATATAAAACAGGAAGTCGGCCATTTTGGGTTGAAATGGCGATTTTTAGCCGTTTTGGCCGTTTTTAGGGTCCGTTTCTGACTGGATTGCGCGATCATTTTTCGCACAATCGTCTCAAAGATTTTGTAAAATTGCTCAGAAGGGATGGGCGAACAAAATGAGACAAGGATTCTGACTTTTCGTATATGTTGAAGGGGCGGGGCCAAGCCTCGAAATTTGACCACTCGCCAAAATGTTTTAAATTGCTATAACTTCAGAACTGAATGGAACAGAGTTACAAAAATTTCTGTGGTCATTCGTCATCCAACCACAAAGTAAACTGAATGGTCGGAAGATGACATCACACAAGTCCCACCCCCTCAGGACTTAAAAAGTCAAGTTTTACTGGGAAATTTTCCAAAATTCGCCCTTTCAAATAATCAGCGCAAATATGTAGCAGGTAACTAAAGACAAGCTGGGGTTGCTTGGCGTCACTTTGTTGGGAGTTTTCTGCAGAAGGCGGGGCTGTGCCAGCACCATTTAGAAGCAAACGGAGCCCTTTTGGACTTAACCCTCCCACTGTCCTAATGGGTGTGACCTCGCGAGGAAAGTTGACCACTGAGCAGGATTGATGGTTTATCCCTTGGGTCCACGTGGCAGGGGTGAGGAGTGAGCACCACCTCACCTCTACCACGTGGACCTCAAGGGATAAACCATCAATCCTGCTCAGTGGTCAACTTTCCTCGCGAGGTCACACCCATTAGGACAGTGGGAGGGTTAAAAAATGCAATAAAATTAATTTAAGCAGAATATTGTTCTTAGATGTTTGTAATCTTGCAGAAACACTTTAATTTATGGGGTGTTTAAAATCTGAATCAGTGCAAATAAATATAAAAACAAATAGCTAATCTGCATTTTATTCCAGCAGATGGTGATGGTGCGCCGTAACGATGTTTAATGGTAGAAGTCTAGTTGGTCTGGTTTCGACCAGAGAACACGGAGCTGTTATCTAAACCCAGCGGTGTTAATCCTGGTAATAAATGACAGACTCAGCACTGCTTGGTGGCAAAGAAAGACCAATCGCACGTTTACGCGTGCTGCTTACTAAGTACTGCGGTTTTCCTCAGTCCACAGATCTGAACTGTAAAGCCTCTGCAGTCGAATCCGTCCTTCTAGCATCAAAATAAGCTCATTAAATGTTCTCATCCAAGGAGATGTTGATGTAAATGACTGCGCTACTAATGGACATCTCCTGACTTCAAACAGGATGCCCCGACCAAGAGTCTGGACCAGCAACACTATGAGGGTGCAAACAAATGATTATACTGAATTCAAAACATCCCAGCTGTCACGTTTAAGCTGAATGCATATGAGGCAGGAGTGATGTGAGCTTTTTGTTTAAGTGCTAGCAGTAATTCACTTGTAGTGCCAAGGCACTTCATTAGCAGGGAGGGGGATGAATTGCAGAGCAAGCAGGAGTCCTAAACAAGCATCAAACGGTTGCATTCGAGCATCCCGGGAAAAAGGTGCTCCCGTAAGCGTTCTCTCCCCAACACCCAGAAACCATCCTCGGTGCTGCTGCTGATTCCTGTTTGATTATGAGAGCAGCATCTCGGAGGATGCTCATGATCCGTTTCCAAATATCAGAAATGCAGCTGGCATTTTTCTGGCACCTTTGCGAAGCTAATGCAGAGATTTCCGAGGATCTTACTGAGAGCTCTTCTGTCCTATTTTCAGTCAGTTCTTTTAGAGATAAAAACTGCTGCATGAGATTCAAGCAACACACTCTCACAAACAGCAACAAGAGCGCTTGCTGTTTTCGTTTTCCTCGTCCCAGAGAATTAGCGGTTTGAGAAAAATGAGCATTTTTCTCAGAGGGGACTGACGTGACCTCTGACAGGGCACAGAGTCTTCTGCACTGTTTGACGAGTGTGGATCATGTTTGTGTGCGTGAGTGTGTGCGCGCGGTTCAGATCCATCTCATCGCATTTGCCTCTGGAATGAGATGAATACTTCCCACACTCGTCTGCCTCCTTCTCGGGTGTGAATTGCCAGGCTGATACCTCACTCTTCAGAGGGCTGGAGGGCAATGAGAGCTGACAACACAATGGCATTATCTCTGTTGATGGGGAAGCCAATGTCACTGGGGAAGCTTTTCCTCCCCCTCAACCCCACCCCAACCAGCCTCTCCTACATCCTCAGAGATGGAGCTAGCTGAAGCTTGTGGGCTAAATGTGTGATTTGACCATTTGTGCACGGCCGAGTGGTGCTTTGGCGCCATGAAGAATGCTGTGGAGAGGACTAAGAGGAGACAAAGCGGAGAGGTGTGCCAAAACACCGAGAGGCCACTTAATTATTTAGTAAAGCTGCCAGGTTCAAAGGGTCGCAGCCAACGCCTGCTAATACATCACCTTCAAGGCTAATGTGCCTGTGTTTTGATCTGGTGGTCTTAAAAAATATACAAATATCACAGAATATTTTCTTTAGTTAAAAATGATGCAGCTAAAAAAGTTCCAGACGTGATATTTGCTTGCTCCAACACACCATCGTAGCTTTGGATTGAAAGGATATTTCTGTCTTCTGCTGTGTCCTTTCACACCGTCACCTCTGTCTTGCTATTGGTGGCCAGTCCCTTGTGTTTGGGGTGCATGTGTGGAGAGTGGCTGTAGCCCAGCGGCTGTGAGAAGAGCTCAGGCAGTGTCTCGATGCTGAACTGCCTCTTGTTGGAGTAGGCCTGGCGCCGGCTGTTTTGCTGGTGCAAAACCTGGTGCTGCTGCTGCTGGATGGGGTGGTGTGGTGGCCCCCCGATGCTCATGTGGGTCGCCGTTGGGTGTTGGATGTGGCTCTTGCTGGGGTCCCATGCTTTGAAGGCTGAGCTGGACGTGAGCGGGTGGGTGTTGGTTTTGGAGATCTTGGGTTTGGGGATCTGGGAGGCATTGATGGTGATGGCCAGAGGTGCGTGGATATCAGGTGGTGGGAGGAAGGGCTTGTCCTTGGGGTGGAAGTTGATTGGTTGGAAAGTTGGGGGCGACTGGCGGTGGGTGTAATCTACCATGGGGTAGCTCTTGTAGTAGTCTCTTACACCGGTGTCTGGATGATGGGAGAAGGAGAAACAACAGAATACAGATACCAGTTAAAGTATGAAAAGAAACAATACTGATAAATAATGTATTAGTTTAATTTTATTATATGTATTTAGTGTGTCTTGTGTTGTATTGGATCCACTAGGCACATCTAAAAAAAAAAAAACCTCTTTTGGTCACTTATAAGAAAACCCAAATGGATCCAGTCGGATTTTGATGCAATTCCTAGAGTATTCACTGGATTTACGTCCCAAATCAAGATTGTTTCTACGAATAATTGATCTTAGCCAACACAGAAATGGCGTAAACACCTTCAGGGTTACAAATAAGACTGGTGGGTTGGGGGTAACCATGCACCTTGGTGTAATTGCAGGTTTGCCCATCACAGCGCGTTTGGACGACTGTTGTTTATCTGAAGACAGACAGACTTTTTCAGTGGAGATTTCGACTGCCAGCACGCTAGAAAAAAATGGCCAGATTTCAAACTGCCAGTGCGGACCTGCCAATTTAAACACCCAAATCCATTCCAGAACCTTGAAGTGCTTTTTACGTAGCCACTCCAGTGTTTCCTGGGCAGTGTGTTTGGGATCTCATGCTGGAAGATCCAGCCCCTCTAATGTTTCCATAATACGGACCAGTCGTCCTGTGTCCTTTACAGAAAAGCAGCCCCACAGCATGATGTTTCCACCCCCATGCTTTACAGTGGGTATGATGTTCTTGGGATGCAAGTGACATAGTTTTAGTCATTGCCTTGTCGTAATCGCTTCCATTTGTGGTGGATAAATTTCTGTCATTAATCAGATGTGTACACTTTTGACTTAGGACATTGGTTTCTTGGTTTTCCAGCAAGGAAACTTGATCCTCACACCTTATATAAATGTTACATTACATGGATTCCTTTCAAATCCAGGTCTAAGCATTCAGATTAAACATCTTACTCATATCCTTTAGACTTAGACCTTTTCCTGCTATAGTCTTAATCTAGTGCAACTCTAGACATTGTATGTCTTGTAAAATGACTACATTTTTTCTGTTCTGAATGACTTTAGTTAAATATTGATGGTCATCACAATTCCTACCTTCTCAAACTGGCTGGCTTACTTGGGTTAGTAATGCATGCAACCATGGTGGTTTGAATCACTTTGGAATAACTTACTTCTTCCAATTTTCTCCACACTTTTAATTGGCGAATGTCAAATAAACCTTTTAAGTCAACGTAGAAGAAGAAGAAAATATCATTTCTATAGCGCCTCTCAAGGTAAAAATAACAAGGCGCTTCACAAAAACAAAAATGTAAAAATATAAAAAAGAATTTAGAAAATGGTTAAAAACATATTTAAAATGAGCAAAAAATAGACAATTGTGATAAAAAATGTTAAGAAAGAGAGAGAGAGTGGATAGGAAAAAAGGAAATCAGTGGATCCTGAGGAAGGTGGAATAGAGCTCCGGACCCCGCAACCCGACTCCGGATAAGCGGATGAAAATGGATGGATGGACAAATAACAGATTTACTTGTAAGAAGCTTAAATAGAGTGCTGTGCTGTTTGAATGTATAAACTGAATGCCAAGAGAAATCACTAGTTTGATTGTTTTCCGTGAATAAAATAAATATGTCAGGCAGGAACGTCTCAGGATCTGTCTGAGAGCTGTCTCTGTGAGATAGATAATAGTGATCCAAAGTGCTTTTTATGTGTGATCTGACAATTGATCAACCATTGCTTAAAATGAAATACAGCTTAGCCGGTTATTGCTGTGATCATAAAACACGTAAACGGCAGCACACAGAACTCACGAGGCAAAGTTTTAAGTGATGTTTACTTGTTGCTATGAGTAATAAGACAGAAAAAGTCAAAATAAGTTTAGGAAGCCCATTAAGAATCGTAATAAAAGCATTTAAAATAAATACCATACACAGTTGAGGAAACGTTGGTTTAAGTACCTGATATGAAGTGGTCGCTGCACAAGCGAAAACCTTTACTCTCGGGATCCCACAGTTTCATTTAGCCCGGTCACTAGTGTGTTTTATTACAATGATCCAACGTTTGCGGCACTCCGGATCTTGGGGAATCCTGTAGACGGCTCATTCCTTATGTCGTTCGTGTCTGTTCTGCATCCTGGGGCACAACAGAAATCTACCATATGTCCTGTCTGATTGAGTTTTCTGACAATAACAAATAGTCCAGCTGCTGGCTTCTACCTGCCAATATGGCGCCGTTTCGATTTGAACTGTTGCATGCCGGGAGAAGTGACGTCAACTCCCGGAGCTCTATAGGTGGGGAGGGCAGAATAAAGAGAGAGTGGTGTAGAAGGTCATACAAAAGCCAGCTTGAACAAGTGAGTCTTCAGCTGCTTTTTGAAGGAGACCACTGAGTCCACTGATGTCAGGCTCAGGGGGAGAGAGGTCCAGAGTCTGGGGGCCACAGCAGCAAATTATCTGTCACCTTTGGTCTTTAGCCTGGTGCTGCACAACCAGTAGGCTTTGATCACTGGACCTCAGGGACCTGCTGGGGGTGTAGGGACTAAGAAGATCACCAATGTAAGATGGTGCTTGTCCATGTAAGGCCCTATAGACGAGAACCAGGATCTTGAAATGAACCCTGAAGGTGACTGGCAGCCAGTGAAGCTGGAGGAGAAGCGGGGTGATGTGGGTGTGTTTGGAGGACTTGGTCAGAAGCCGAGCACAGGCGTTCTGAACCACCTGTAGATGGTTCAGGGAGGTTCTGCTCAGACACGTGAAAAGAGAGTTGCAGTAGTCTAAGCGTGAGGAGATGAAGGTGTGGAGAACTGTCTCAAGTTCAGAGCGGGACAGAATGGGACTCAGCTTAGCAATGTTCCTGAGATGGAAGAAGGAAGAGCAAACAAGAGAACTGGCATGAGGATCCAGGGTGAGAGCTGGGTCAAAGGTCACACCAAGATTCCTGACGGACGGTTTGGTGTGAGAAGCAAGCTGACCAAGAGAGTCTCTGACTTTGGGAACCAGCTTGTCTGGGGCACAGATGAGGATCTCAGTCTTATCTTCATTCAGCTGAAGAAAGCTCCCAGCCATCCAGGTTTTGATAGAGTCTAAGCAGGTGTGTAACAGCTGCAGCTTAGACATCTCATGGGGCTTAAAGGAGATGTACAGTTGGATTTCATCTGCGTAAAGATGGTAGGAGATTCCTTTGAAGGAGCTCAGGATGTGCTGAAGAGGAAGCAGATAGAGGAGGAAGAGCAGAGGCCCCAGCACAGAACCTTGTGGGACACCATGGGTAAGGGAGGTGGTGGAGGACCTAAACTTGGAGACGGCCACAGAGAAGGAGCGCTCAGACAGATAAGAGGAGAACCACTCCAGAGCAGATCCCGATAGGCCTACCCAGTCTCTCAGCCTCTCCAGTAGCAGGTGATGGTCAACAGTGTCAAAGGCTGCAGTCAGGTCCAGCAGGACCAGAACAGAACAGTCCCCTGCATCACTGTGAGTCAGAAGGTCATTAGAAACACTAAGAAGAGCTGTTTCAGTAGAATGAGCTCTACAAAAACCTGACTGGAAGCTATCATAGATGTTCTGTTCATCAAGAGAAGCTGTGAGTTGTTTAGCCACAACCTTTTCCAAGATCTTGGAGATGAACGGAAGTTTAGAGATGGGTCTGAAGCTGCTATGAAGAGAGGCGTCAAGACTCGGTTTTTTAAGAAGCGGGTAGATTACAGCGTTCTTAAAGTAAGCAGGGACCTGACCAGAAACCAAAGAAGCATTAATTATAGAGAGCACGCTGGGACCGATGGACTGAAAAGCACTTTTAAACAAAGATGAGGGTAAGATGTAGAGGGGGCATGCAGAGGTCTTCATAGAGTTAACTAGTTTGGTTAACTCAGGCAAAGAAACAGGAGCAAAGCTATCTAGGATGATGGGCCTGGTTGGAGTCGGGAGAGGCAGCGATAAGGCTGAAGGAGAGATGCTAGATCTAACCTTATTGACGTTGTCCACAAAGAAAGACAGAAAGTTCTCACAGTCTGTAACAGAGTGGATGGAGGCTGTAGATAAGGCAGGAGAAACAATGCTGCTGATAGTGTTAAACAGCACCTTGGGGTTCCCTTTGCTCTGGGACACCAGGTTGGAAAAATAGGAAAACCTAGCGTCTCTGACTGCAGAGATAAAGGATGTCAGAAGATCCTTTAGGTGCAGCAGATGGACGTGGAGATGGGTTTTCTTCCACAAGTGCTCAATTTTTCTGCATTGGTGCTTCAGGCTGCGAAGGCTGTCATTAAACCAGGGAGTAGGGTTCACTGCAGGAACTGATCTGGTTCTGACAGGACAGATGTTGTCCAGAATGGAGAGGCAGTGGTCGTTAAACTGAGAAGTAAAGGAGTCTGGGTCGTTATCAGAAGAACAGGGTGGATCAAAAGCAGCAGAAACATTGCTAGCTGTGCTCTCACTGAGAAAACTAGAACTAACCATACGGCGAGCAGGAGGTGGGGACGCAGAACCTGACAAGTTAAAGAAAATGCAATGGTGATCTGAAATATAAATGTCCTCAGGACAAACACTGTCAGCATTTAGAATCAGGGTAAAAACAAGGTTTAAAGTGTGCCCCCTGGTGTGTGTGGGGCCAGAAACATGCTGGGTAAACCTGAAGGAGTCCATAAGGCTGGAGAGATCCATGGCAAAGTGATCAGAGGGATCATCAATGTGGATTTTAAAGTCACCAACAATCACCAGTCTGGACAGCTTCACAGTGGAGGATAGAAAGTCACTAAACTCCTGAAGGAAAGAACTGTTTGGACCAGGTGGACAATAGACCACAGCACAGTTGAACGGGTCCTAACGCCCAACTTTAATCAGCTGCAGCTCAAAGGAAGCAAAGTGACCAGTGTCAGACTCGTGCCGGTGAGTGAGGCAGATACAAGGATCCACATGTGGGTGAGGGAAGCAGGCAGGCAGACAAACTGGAACAAGTAACAGTCTTTAATGAGGAGAGCACGCAGGACAATGAAACAATGATCCAACAAGAGACAAAGAACTGAAGGGG